GTTGAAAAGGGTTAAAAACATCACCAAGCTGGAGTTCCCACGATTGAAAGGAGAATATGAAGAAGAGCTGCGGAAGGGACATGGAAGTGACTTAAGGGCCTTGGATATAAGGTTACCAGGTTAATGCGCTAGATCGATGGGAAAAAAGGACTGACAAAACCCGGGACCAGGAGGAAGGGACGCTGGATGAAGATTGGATTGTTTTTATTTCTTTTTTTCTTATTACCAGGATTGTTTTATAAAATGGATGAATGTTAGAAAAATGTTGGAACGAAATTACTTGGCTCTAGTAAAAATGTTTAAAGAATTAGGTAAGAATATTATGGTTGTGAGAAGTCGGTAAAAATAAGATTTAAGTTTAAGTTTTAAGGTTTTTATAAGATAAGATGAAAATAGATTAAGGTAATGTAATGACAGAATATTATGAAATATGGAAAGGATTTGCTGCGATAATTATTAACTAGGATACAAAAAAAGGGAGGAGGAGGAGGTCAAAGAAAGAAGGTAATGAGAGTTGAGGATTTGAGAATGATGGATTTATTTTTGTCTGTTTGCGGTGTATTTTTGTTTTTTGAATTTGTATTGTTGGATGTGGTTTGTTTTTTCTTTGTTTTTTCTTTTTTCTTTTTCTGCTTTGTTTTTTCTCTGTAATTCAAAAAATTTTCAATAAATATCATTTAAAAAAAAATAAACATGTTTGTGCATCACTTTTAAGGGGCAGAAAGTCCATGTATCCAAGATCAGGCTGCTCTATGGAGCAATTGCAAGAAGGATGTCTCCGACCCAATGAGCTTGCAATCTACAGTTTGCTTCTCTTCAGCTGCTCAGCATCCTCCAGACTGCTCTGACCCCTCAAGGATGGTTCCTCCACCCACCTGCACATACACACTGTTTCCTTGCACCTCCGAGATGCTCCAAGCGAGTCAAATCTCTGTCATGCGGCTGGCAAAGAGAACCGAGGTTTAGTACCTGAGCGGCATAAGGAAATTAGTAAATGGAAGGATTAAATGGATGTAAATTGGAGACACTTCCCAATATGAAGTATGATTTCTTTCTCCCCCTGCCCCGCTTAAAAGTACTTATTCCTCCCGCAATATAACTGTCAGAGAGAGCTTAATTCATTACCGTTTGAACAGCACGGAGGTTCTGTAAATTTGGAGTTCAATTTAATTTTCTCCGGGGAGGGGGACGACGTTCGCTAAAAAGGCCTGCTTTTTAAAAAGAGAGGTGTTGGGAGAAATGTAGGCAGGGAGACAGCGGCACGCACAGATTGTGCAAAATTGCAAAGCACTTTCCTTCCTTCTGCAGGCTGCAGTTCTGTTTCTCTGTAAGAAAGGCACTTTGCAGGTGCTCAGGGAAAGGCACCCGGCTCTGTATGATTCTTGCACCTACAGACCCGTCAGTCTGAATTGGTACTGGGCAAAACTCCTGTTTGCTCAGTTCAGAGTCAGCTTGGCCATTATGAATGTCGCTGGGGCGCATTTGATACAATGTGATCGATACGATACGATACGATACGATACGATAATCTTTATTGTCATTGTCCCATACAGAACAACGAAATTGAAAAATCTACATAAAACATTCAAAACTCAACAAGCCTGCTATCCCAGCTATCCCAACCTGGTTAGCCCCCTAAAAACTCTGATACCCCATTTTTAAATACAATATACTCCCATACAGACTCCTTACAATGAGTTTAAAACCAAAATCACATTTGGGTAGAAACTGTTTCTCAGGCAGCTAGTCCTAGTCTTTATAACCCTGTACCTTCTTCCAGAAGGCAGAAGCTGAAAGAGATCGTTTCTGGGGTGCGCACTATCCTGCACTATCTCTGCAGCTTTCTTATGGCACCTGGAAGCATAGATTTGATCCAAGGTGGGAAGAGTGCACCCAATTATTCCTGCTGCAGCAAAAGAGCAGAAGAGATGGAGAGACAGGCAAAAGCGTCGGTAGCTGTCAAAGGGCTCCATCATCACCAGCACCATCATCGTCGTCATTTTCCCCCCATTGCATTTATACCCCAACTTTTTCTCCCAAAAGCTGGAAGTGGCATACATGGTTCTCCTCTTCATCGAATCCCCATAACAACCCTGTGAGGTAGGTTAGGTTGAGAGACAGTGACTGGCCCAAGGTCACCCAGTGAGCTTCATGCACTTAGGCAGGAAAACCAACCGCACAAATATAAGATGGAGGACACCTGGCTTGCCAGCAGTACATGTTTCACAAGTTTCACATGAGTCAACAGTGTGATGCAGCAGCAAAAAAAGCTAATGCTATTCTAAACTGCATCACTAGACACTAGACATATGGTGTCCAGATTTTATACATATAAAAGTAGGGTTAGCATATGTCTGCGATATCCCAAAATCCAGCTGACTAGCAGTGTCTGGGCGGAAATCGAAAAAATGTCTGCTGTTTTTGCTTTTTTTTGCCAAAAAATAATTTAAAAGTAATTAAACACTAATGGAATTAAATAAATAAATAAAACGTTTTAAATCTATTAAAACAAAGATAATAAAAACGATTAAAAGCCCTTAAAAAAAAATCCCGTCAGCTGCCAAAGGCCTGTCAGAATGAAACAGTCTTCACCTGCTAACAAAAGGGCAGCAAGGAGAGAGGCAGTCTGGCTTCTCTAGGGAGGGAGTTCCAAAACCTGGGAGCAGCCACCAAGAAGGCCCTCTCCCAAACCCTACCAGACTGGCCTATGAGGGCGGAAGGACTGAGAGAGGAGCCTCCCCAGACAATCCCAGAGCCTGGGCAGGTTCATATAGGAGAATATGGTCCTTCAGATAGTCTGGGGCTAAGCCGTATAGGGCTTTATAGGTCATAACCAGCCATATATCTAAACTATCTTCCCACAATAGTCTCCTTCTTCCAGTTGTAGCTCATGAGAATTGCGCATACCACCACCACCTCCTCTCCAGAAGATCTCTCTCTCAAAGAATCCATGCTTTTTTTGTATATTATGCCTTGGGTAGAATGTTCTAATTTTCATGACTAATTCCTTTCCCCCCCTTTTTCTTTTTCAGCTTGCTGGCCCTACACTTAAATTAGCCAGAGGTCAGGAGAGCTATTTCTTCAGCTGTGAAAAGCCTCGCTGGTAATTTTCTCTTATTTCTTTTCTTTCTTTCTTTTTTCAAATAAACTCTCTTAACGGGTGCTGTGGGCAATGCTTTGTAGGAAAACACATCCTAATAGGCGTAATTGAATGCACCACAGACAGTCTGAAACAAATGAGGAGGAGAGCGAGGGAAGAAGATCTGCACACAAAACACACTCGCGTGGACACAAGCGCATTTTGACAGAGGCCAGTCTTCAGTTGCAGCCACATTAGAGGTGGACAGAAATGTCTCAGTCATTTTTGCCAGCTTCCCAAAAAATGCTTTGGGATGTGTGTCTGTATCCCCACCCCAACCAGCCTAGCTTGTGGTGTTGGTGGGAATGTATTTTTATTTATCGAGCAAATTTATATCCGATGTGTTAATGGAAGACCTCAAAGGGATCCTCAGTCTTTCCAAAATGCATGGGTTATGTTCAAATACATCATATTGTATGTTAAAAAGGTAAAGGTAAAGGACCCCTGACAGTTAAGTCCAGTCACAAACGACTCTGGGGTTGCGGTGCTCATCTTGCTTTACAGGCTGACGGAGCTGGTTTTGTCGGCAGATAGTTTTTCAGGGTCATGTGGCCAGCATGACTGAGCCGCTTCTGGCGAAACCAGAGCAGCGCAGGGAAACACCATTTACCTTCCCGCCAGAGGGTACCGATTTATCTACTTGCATTTTTGGCGTGCTTTCGAACAGCTTGGTTGGCAGGAGCTGGGACCGAGCAACGGGAGCTCATCCCGTCACAGGGATTCGAACTGCCGACCTTCTGATCGGCAAGCCCAAGAGGCTCAGTGGTTTAGACCACAGTGCCACCCGCGTCCCTCATATTGTATGTTATCGACACCTATTTCCTTCTCTCTTCCATCTTCAGATGGAAGATGGCGCAAGCTTGTTTTTCCTCCTTCGCCAGAGTGCAGGACCCAAACCAACAAAGTCAAACGAGAAGATAGGACATTCCGACTCAACATTAGGAAGAGCTTTCGGGTGGTGAGAGCTGGCTGACAGAGGAAGAGACTTCCTTGGAAGGTGGTGGACTGCTGCATTTGAAGTTTGATGGCTGTCTGTCAGGGATTCTTTGACCGCAATTCATTTATTGCAGGGGATTGTACTAGATGACCCTTGGGGTCCCTTCCAACTCTACAATTCTATGATAATGATGATGATGATGATGATGATTTATTTATACCCCACCCATCTGGCTGGGTTTCCCTAACCACTCTGGGCGGCTTCCAACAAAAGATTTAAAATACATTAAAACATCAGTCATTAAAAACTTCCCTAAACTTCAGATGTCTTCTAAATATCATATAGTTGTTTATTTATTTGACATCTGATGGGAGGGTGTTCCACAGGGCGGGCGCCACCACCGAGAAGGCCTTCTGCCTGGTTCCCTGTAAGCTCACTTCTCACAGTGAGGGAACCGCCAGAAGGCACTCGGCACTGGACCTCAGTGTCCGGGCAGAATGATGGGGGTGGGGATGCTCCTTCAGGTATACTCTGCTGATTTAGTGACTAACCCTTCCCCAAACCCACAATATACAGCTGAAGGATGCAGCTCTTTATCCTGTCTTTAGACATTGGAGGTGTCTGTTTTTAAGACTCACCTTGTTTCTGTGATTGATTTCTACTTTTCATATTGGGCTTTAATGTTGCAACCTGCAACTTAGAGTGAAGGTTGGGCAAATAATAATAAAGAATAATGCAATAAATATATTCTGTTTATAGCAAATATTCTATTTATATCTTAAGTCTTCTCCATGGTGGCGGGCAAACAGCCTGGATATCGTATCTGCTGTTGATAGCTAGCTTGGAAGTGAGTGGCTATCGGTGTCAGAGGGGTTGGCGGAAATCCCACACTCCTCCGTCGTTTTCGTGAATAGTTACACAGAGGGATAGCTTAGTTGCTAGAGCATGAGATTCTTGATCTCATGGCTGTTGGTTCAAGCCCCACCTTGGGCAAAAGATTCCTGCCTTGCAGGGGGTTGGACTAGATGACCCTCGTGGTCCCTTCCAGCTCTACAAACCTGTGATTCTGAGAGTCCATGCAAGAGAAGCTATCATGCAACTGGAGCTACCGTTCCATCTTCCAGCAGTGCATGAGCGGTTTGAGCATTATCGGCTGCCTGAGGCAAAAGGCAGTCCGTTGCTGTCAAAGCTCGCTCAGAACTCCCAAATCCCATGCAGAAATCCATTAAAAACAGATCCCCGCTCCATCCCTATTCTTTGCATATGTGGGCACCATCTAGGCAAAACGGTGGGCGGGAGAATGAGGGGAGAGATAGAGAAGCCCATGGACGCAAGAGCGAAAAATGAAATATACGTAGCATCTTATTAGCAAAGGACATCTGAGCCTCTAATTAAAATTTGCCTAATGACCCAGCTTCTTCGTCATTTTCACTATCGCAGACATTAATTTGCAGTGACAAGTACTTAGGCAAAGGCAAAATTAATTCCTCTTTTGGAAAAAAAGGGGGGAAGGAAGCATTAAAGGGGCTCCGCATCCATTTCACATTTGGCTGGGGGAAAGATTTGCAGCGAGAATGAGGAGTTTGATGTTGTGGAAAGGGGCCCCTGGCTTTTCCCTGAAGTCGTGCTACACCCAGACCGTGAAAATCCTGCTATAGCAGCATGGCTAGGATGAGACGGGCTTGGGGGACGAGGAAGGGCTGGAGGTCATTGGTAAGGAGGAGAGGGGAAGCGGATTCAGCTTGCAAATAAAAGCGAACTTTTGTGTGGCAGGAATATGCGCCTTGAACATGTACAATCTTGGGTGCAGCCACATTTGGAATACGCATTTGGTTGTTTCACCTCAAAAGGGATATTCTAGAATTTGGAAAGGTTCAGAAAAGGGCAGCCCAAACGATCAAGTGAGTGGAGCAACTCCCCTACAAAGAATGGTTGCAGTGTTTGGGGCTTTAGAAAAAAGGCGAGTAAAGAGGCGACAGGATAGAAGTTTATAAAATGATGCATGGCATAGAGCAGGGGTTGGCAAGGCTTTGTCAGGAGTTCGTCCTACACTCAGGTAGGACCCTGGCAGAGACACATGCCCGACTGGCATGTTCCCTCCCTCGTGGTCGATCGTTCAGGAGCTTCAAAAGCTTTCTTCAGCCCGAACATCACAGCGACTGATGTCAACAGACATCGGCACACTTAGGGATCCACAGAGTCTTCGCAGCTTGCATAACAGACCTCAGCAACTCAGCATTTTGGGTAATCTACTTCATTTACATATAAACACACATGGAGCACTGCAACATGGCTCCCTCTCTCTCTCTAGCATCAGACAGCAAAGAGAAAGAGCAAAGGACAATAGTCCCACTTCACGGAACACAGTAACACAAACATTCTGTCGCCATCACTTCCCACTCTGTGGAATCAAAACATACACCATCATGTGACAGACAAAAATTCCATGACTGCAATCATGGAGCAGGAATTCTAACAGGCTTAACGGGCATGGGCCAGATCACCCCCGCGGAGATCCTCCGTGGGCCAGGCCGGTGCAGCACGGCACTGGAAATCGCTTCTGAGCAGGCATGATTTCCAGCGTCTGGGCATGTGCAGAAGCAATTTCCAGAGCCACGGAAGAGAGTCCCCATACTGCGCTGTGCCAGTTTAGCGCAGCACACGGGGACTCGCCAAGTGGGTGGCTCGGTTCGGGGGTGGTTCATGAGCTGGTTAAACGACCCTCATGGGCTGCTTCCGGCCCATGGGCCTTAGGTTGCCGACCTCTGGCATAGAGAAAGTGGATAGAGGAAAGTTTTCCTCCCCCTCTCATAACACTAGAAGTTGTGGACATCCAATGAAGCTGAATGTTGGGAGATTCAGGACAGGTGAAAGGAAGCCCTTCTTCATCCAGCACATAGTTAAACTATGGAACTCCCTCCCACGGGAAGCAGTGAGGGCCACCAACTTGGATGGCTTTAAAAAGAGGATTGGAGAAATTCATGGAGGAGAAGAGGACTATTTATGGTCCTGGTCCTGTTGGCTCTGCTCTGCCTCCACAATCAGAGGCAGCGATGCTTCTGAATACCAGTTGCTGGAAACCACAGGAAGGGAGAGGGCTCTTGTGCTTGGAATCTGTTTGAGGGTTTCCCACAGGCATCTGGTTGGCCACTGGGAGAACAGGATGCTGATCCAGGAGGCTCCTCTTATGTTCTTAAGAAGAAGTGCTTGGCCATATGGTCCCTACTGTTTATTCCAAGGCAGGGATTTTGCGAAAGTATATTTAGGTAGTCAGATGCTCTTTCTAATTCTGCTAGACTAATAGTGATTGGAAAGTGAGGGAAACAATGATGTTAAAACTGCATCGTCGTTGTTTTTAATTTGGCATGTCTGTGTTTGCATTGAAATTTACGAATTTCTCCTGGAAAGCAGAAGGAGGCATAACTTTCTCTTGTTTGTGCCTTTCATTCCTATCAAGTATCAAGAAGCGCTTTGAAGGAGCTGGTGGTGCCTGCCCTGCTCATTTTAAACCGGCCAGGATTTTGGCCATCGCTTCTGAGTCTCTCGTGCAATCCTGGCTCATTAAAGGACTCTTTTGCTTGGGTCTGACGGCTGCTCCCTCTGACTCGTCCCTGAACCAGAAGCAAAAGTTAGCAACTTGAACCAGCTCAGTCAAGTAGAGATTGAGATTCTGAATGTTGGGATTCTCAATCTCAGGGTTGTGGGTTCGAGTCCCACATTAGGCAAAAGATTCTTGCATTGCAGGGGGTTGGACTAGAGTCTATGAACCTCTCTCTGGGCAATGGCACCAAGTCCCCAGAATGTCCCTGTCAACCTGTGCTAAGCCAGTAATCAACACCATCCTGCCAAAAGAAGTGGCTCAGATAATTCAGTCACCCAAGGCTCCCAATTCCTTCCATCATGGCTGGAGGCAGCAATGCTTCTGAACACCAGTCCCTGGAAGCCACAGAAGGGAAGAGGACTCTTGCAGTCAGATCCTGACTATCCAGTTGGCCACTGTGGGGATAGGATGCTAGACTAGATGGGCCATTGGCTTGATCCAGCAGGTCCTTCTTAGGCTCTTACGAATATAATGGCTTTTGCTGGATTCACGCAGGAATCTGAATTTGATGATGTAGCCTGCGCTTTTGTTCATGTTTACGGCTTATTGCAACAGCCTTCTTTGAACACTCCGTGCATCATCCCCGAAAGCAGTGGCCAAGCCGGGGCTGGCGGAGAGAGATCAGTGCATTATTAATGTTTATTTACAGAGGTCTTTGCAGGGAGCAGGCTGGGAGAAACTCATAATCATCTTGGATGCTTTCCCCTCTGAAATGGGAAGACACTCAAAACATCAATAAGTGAGCACACTGTACATACAGACGCACTCTCTTGCATTACACAGATCGACCCTCGCTGACTTCTGCCGCTGAGCATTAGCAGCGCATGGTAAACATCTTTGTCCTCGTTCAGCAAAGCACTGGCCTCTTATTAACACGTGTGAAAATGGGGATCTGGAAGGGGGAAATACCGTGAACCATCCCTCAGACCTGGGTAGGAGGTACGGCTCATTTGCTTGGCAAGAGATGTGGAACTCCCTTACCTTGCTCAGACCGAGTCAATGAACAAGTTGCGTTAGAGATGGGGAAGAAATTCCCTCACGTCACATTTTAATAAACATTTTAATAAACACCCTATGGAATCATAAGGTGGCAAGGACCCCAAGGGTCATTGAGAGAGACAGTGTGGTGTAGTGGTTAAGAGCGGTGGACTCGTAGTCTGGTGAACCAGGTTCGCGTCCCTGCTGCTCCACATGCAGCTGCTGGGTGACCTTGGGCCAGTCACACTTCTTTGAAGTCTCTCAGCCTCACTCACCTCACAGAGTGTTTTTTGTGGGGGAGGAAGGGAAAGGAGATTGTTAGCCGCTTTGGGTAGTGATAAAGCAGGATATCAAATCCAAACTCTTCTTCTTCTTCTTCTTCTTCTTCTTCTTCTTCTTCGACATCTATCCAACCCCCTGCAGTGCAGGAATTGCAGGTAAGGAATCCCTGACAGATGGCCACCCAACCTCTGTTTTCAAGGAAGGAGAGAGTCCACCATCTTCTCAGGGAGTCCATTCCACGGTCCAACAGCTCTTACCATCGGAAAGTTCTTTCTAACATTTAGGCAGAATCTCTTTGCTTGTAACTTGAATCCATTGGTTTGGGTTCTCTCCTCTGGAGCCAGCAGAAAACAATCTTGCTCCATATTCCATGTGACAGCCCTTCAGGTGTTTGAAGATGGCCCTCACATCACCTCTCAGTCTTCTCTTCAGGATAAACATGGGCAGCTCCTTCAGTGTCAGTGATTCCTCCTAAGGCATGGGAAGGCAAACTAAGGCCCGGGGGCCAGATCTGGCCCAATCGCCTTCTAAATCTGGCCAAAGGACAGTCCGGGAATCAGCGTGTTTTTACATGAGTAGAATGTGTGCTTTTATTTAAAATGCATCTCTGGGTTATTTGTGGGGCATAGGAATTCGTTCATTCCCCCCCCCCCAAAAAAATATATAGTCTGGCCCCCCACAAGGTCTGAGGGACAGTGGAGCGGCCCCCTGCTGAAAAAGTTTGTTAACCCCTGTCTAAGGCTTGGTTTTGAGACCCTTCATCATCTTGGTTTCCTTTGTCTGCACACCTTCCAGCTTGTCAATATCCTTCTTAAACCATGGTGCCCAGAAATAGATAGTGTACTGGATTTATCTTTTGCATTATATTGTAAGTCACTTTAAAAAAAAAAAGTGACGAATATAAGTCCAATTAATTATAATAATCCTAATCCCCATTTGCACTTCCAAAATGTAAACACCGCTATCCTTCAAAATGCACACAAAAGCTCTAGAAAAGCCTGTATATTCCTAGAGAAGTTTGCACAAAAATGCATATTAGCAAAACCTGGCTCAGGGTCACCCGCACTGCCTGGCAGAAGCTCTCTGGAGTTCTCAGCAGGCAGTCTTTCCCAGCCCCCTACCTGGAAATGCTATTGAGGCTTGAACCAGGGTCCATCAGCATGCAAAACAATGCTCTGCCATTGACCTGCCAACTTTCCCCTAACATAGGAAGCTGCCATATTGCAGAGTTGGATCATTGGGGACATCTAGCTCACTGTTGTCCACACGCACTGGCAGTGGCTTGTCAGGGTTCCAGGCAGAGAGTCTTTCCCAACTCCCTACCTGTAGGTGCCAGGGATTGAACCTCAAACCTTCTGCATGCTCCACCACTGAGTTAGTTTAGCACCTTCCTTCATCATCTCTCTTGATTACCTGTGATTCCTGCATTGCAGGGGGTCAGACTAGATGACCCTTGGAACCCACTCTAACTCTACAATTCTATTATTCTACAGTGGTACCTTGGTTTACGAACTTAGTCCGCTCCGGAAGTCCGTTCTTAAACCAAAACATTCTTAAACCAAGGCGCACTTTCCCATAGCAGCGGGGGACTCAATTTACAAATGAAACAAGACTTCCGGGGTGGCACCATCGGCAATGGCGGACTCCCTCTGATCTGGAGGGACTAGCTCCGCGCGAAACGGGTCTTTTCCGCTACGGCGAAGCGGGGACCCTTTCAAAAATCACAGGCGGATGAAGCCTGTGACCATGGGACTCGGCGGGCACCTTTAGCGCCCCCCCAACCCGCAAAAGAACCCACTAACGGGCTCCGGAGCGAAGAGGGGGAAGTGGCGCGGTGCTGTGAGTCAACTGCTATTTCCGTGGAGCAAAGCCGCATAGCTGTTGCCGGAGAGCGCTGCCTTTTTCCTGGGACAATTTGGCTTCTAAAATAATCACCCGTGAGTACTTAAATTTCGGACAATTGGACTTTAAATAAGGACTTGCGAGCAGAAAGGAATTGGACTTAAAAATTTACTTCAATTTGGCACTGAAACGGGAAGGTCTAAACAGGAAGTCAGCCTTCCGTTTCTTTGTAGACAGAATAAAGCAAAGACAACGTAAACTAGAGCTCAGAAATAGCTTCTAAAAGATTAACTTTCATCATTTTAAAATTGTTGAACCCCCCTTCGGAAGCAGGAGAAGAAGGGGGATCTTTTTCGGACTGTTTAAACCTGCAGAAGTGAGTTTAAAGTAAAGTAACTTTCCACCGTCCTGATCCTGGAGCGGGGTGTCAGGAATGACGTTTGAAGCTCATTGACCAGAGACAAACATTTTTGACAGATAGCTAAAAGAAGAGAAACATAGTGATTCCACTGTTCCCTTTCACATTTTAAAGGAACAAATATTGACAAAATATCTCAAAAAGGAAACTTTGTTGCTAGATTTGTACTTAAAAGAAAGAACAAATAGAAGTTTTCCCCCTAGAGGGAGACTGTGAAACTGTAACTAATTCCAGGGTGCTTGCAGCTGTTACAGATTACAACCGTGGGAATAGACCTGTGACCTTGTAGGACAATGTATTCAGAAGCTCTGTGGTGTGCTCTCTGTAAAACAAATGCCCTACTGGAACAGTTAAATGAGAAGACGGATTTGATGACTAATGCGGTCAGAATTTTTGAACAGGTAGTGGGAAACTATATGGAGCCCACCAAGGAATCAAATCAGGAGTGTGCCCTGACAGAACAGATGAGAGAAGAGGATGTTGCTGAATTTTGGGCGCCAGAGATGGAGGGAGCTGTGGCCCTGCAGGAACATGAGCTTTTGGACTTGACAAATGAACTTGGAAAAAGCCAGATTTGGAAAGATAAAGTTTGTATTGGTTTGGAAATGGGGGGTTGGATAGACACCCCCTATGCAGGGATGTTTGGACTTTCCGAGTCTGGCAATGGGCCGTGAGATGTTTGGGGCTGTGGGGGCTCTTAATTTTGGAGGGATTCTGAAACATGTTTTCAAATACCACATGAAGTTTAGTCTGGTCTTTGGAAAAGGGGCTGATTTGTTGAAAAGGGTCAAAAACATTACCAAGCTGGAGTTCCCACGATTGAAAGGAGAATATGAAGAAGAGCCGCGGAAGGGACATGGAAGAGACTTAAGGGCCTCGGATATAAGGTTACCAGGTTAATGCGCTAGATCAATGGGATAAAAAGGACTGACAAAACCCGGGACCAGGAGGAAAGGACACTGGATGAAGATTGGATTGTTTTTATTTCTTTTTTATTATTATTAGGATTGTTTTATAAAATTGATGAATGTTAGAAAAATGTTGGAACGAAATTACTTGGCTCTAGCAAAAATGTTTAAAGAATTAGGTAAGAATATTATGGTTATGAGAAGTTGGTAAAAATAAGATTTAAGTTTTAAGTTTTAAGGTTTTCTATAAGATAAGATGAAAACAGATTAAGGTAATGTAATGACAGAATATTATGAAATATGGAAAGGATTTGCTGCGATAATTAATAACTAGGATACAAAAAAAGGGAGGAGGAGGAGGTCAAAGAAAGAAGGTAATGAAAGTTGAGGATTCGAGAATGATGGATTTGTTTTTATCTGTTTGTGGTGTATTTTTGTTTTTTGAATCTGCATTGTTTGATGTGGTTTGTTTTCTCTTTGTTTTCTCTTTTTTCTTTTTCTGCTGTGTTTTTTTCTGTAATTTTAAAAATTTTCAATAAATATCATTTAAAAAAATCAATTTACAAATGAAACACACTCAACAGGAAGCGAAACATGTTCTTATTCCAAAGCAAAGTTCACAAACCAAAGCACCTACTTCTAGGTTTGCAGCATTCTTAATCCAAGTTGTTCATAAACTAAGCTGTTCTTAAACCA